CAATACGGCTGCTATCCATGAGTCACGATTTTGGTATGCTATGAGAACAAAGAGCACTCTTTAACTTGATATAGTACACTCCCATGGTGTAAACTAGGATTGTGTTTTATGCTAATAAAAAGATGAACTTGGCTTTTTCTTGTAATTTCCTTGGTCTTAAAGTGAGGATTTGGGTTGTACTAGTTGCGTCTCTTGGTTGGCTGCGTGCAAACTTAGTGGTGCCGACCTGTTGTACTGATTGTTTCACATTGACTTGTAATGAAGCGAGCTTTAAATATGGCCTTCTTGTATTAAGATTAAATGAAAAAGCTTGGATGATGTAATGGACTTCCTCCTATAATTTGATGATAAATTTCAAAATATTCAAAAGAACCTTCTCTTTTACACCTGTCTTGAAACTCCAAGTTCTTTTTGATCTTTTGACCTTGAATAAGTCTTGACCTGGTGTGTCCACTAAATTGAGCTTTAACATGTAATCTTGCAACCCGAATTTGGGAATTTTGTGAATTTACTCATGGCTAGATATTGAAGCATGAATTTTGATTGAACTTGTAAGGCACCTTAGGGTGAAATCAGCAATGAACGATCATCACACCTTGATTTGCATACTGGATGAAATCTTGAAACTCCTAACGATGGCAAAATCTTCAAAGGATAACATGTATAGAACAAGTATCACACTGAGATCCAAAAGTCTTGTTAATGCACCAAACCCATATGCTAAATAATAAAACCATAAGTTCTCAAGTTCAAAACTTAAAGGAAGAAGTCCCTGATGACGCTTTGATCCCTTGATAAGAAAATGCTTAAACCCGAGTTTTATGTGGGGATCAGTCAAACTGATCTTCAATGAAACTAGATTCAAATCAGCGTAAAACTTTAGGAGATGGTACTCGAACTTACTGCACCTGCACCAACTGGTTAGCTATAATAAACACACAAAAGTAAAAGAAAACACAAAAAGAGGTGGAATTTTAAGGTCAAAAATTAGGGTGCAACAGGTTCTTCAATTGAACCTTCTGAATTGAGTCGGTACCGCATTTGCATCTGCATAGAGTCGTGAGTCGGTCTCTATGAGTTGCATTATCATCTTTATATGATGCATTGGTGAAATAAACATGTATGTGGGTGTTTATGTGAATTGGTGATGATATAAACATATTGTGTATGTTTATGTGAATTAATGCGAATTGTGATAATGGCATGAGTGAGTATGCTTGAAAATATGTATATATATATATATATATATATATATATATATATATATATATATATATATATATATATATATGTGTGTGTGTGTGTGTGTGTGTGTGTGTGTGTGTGTGTGTGTGTGTGATTATAGGTATATATGTAGGTTTATATGGATTGATATAAACATTGGTGATTGCATATTGTATATGCTTGATGTTCTATTTTTATATAGATATTTATATGAATACATTGCGATGTATAGAATGATTGAGGTGAGTTGTGTTATGAATGCGGAAGATGCGTAACTACTGATATGTATATATATATATATATATATATATATATATATATATATATATATATATATATATATATATATATATATATATATATATATATATATATATATATATATATATATATATATATATATATATATGATTTATGCATTGAATATTATGATATTGTTTCTCACCCTTCTGCTGTTTTATGATACTCTATGAGGCATTGCAGATTAGGTGCTGGTGATCCCTTTTTGTGAAGCGTGTCTTCATTAGTTTTGGTCAGATGGCTCTGATATGTAACACCGGGTAGCATAGGAAGCCTTGGGCTATATTTGATGAATACATTTGTATATGTATTAGTGGTGTTACATGTTTTGTAAACATGAATGTTGTTGATGAATTACATGGAGTGATGTGAATATGTATATATGTGAATTCATGTCGGTTGTGATTCAAATGTTTAGGTTTCCCGCTTTTATTCTAAATATTTGAGATGTGGGTATAAGGACTAAGATCCTTTGATGTGTTTGTTACCCATTGTTGCATATCTATTACGAGCAGGTGTTGTATGTGTTTTAATTCAAGCATATTGTCACATGTTCCTTTTATACCGTATTTTAAATAATACTCTGATGAAAATTTGAATTTGTGCCTAAATGATTCGTTTGATTCTTTGGGGGTATAGAAAGGGGGTGTTACATTCAGGACACACTTTTCTTGTGTGAACCTCCTTCTTACAGTGATAACATCGAATATTAGATGCCTTGGTACCATAAGACTTTTGCTGACTTTTACCTTTCTCCTTGTCAAACTTATCATTCTTTCGCAAGAATTTTCCCTTAATGACCAAACCTTCACCAACCGTCGAAGGTTTATGCTCTTTTCGTTTGTTCAAGTCCTTAGAATACAAGGCTGATTGAACTTCTTAAAGCTCAGAGACTCCCTTCCATACATGAGAGTTTCTTTGAAGTGTGCATGTGTTCTAGGCAAAGCGCACAACATCAATAGTGCTTGATCTTCATCATCAATCTTCACATCAATATTTCCAAGATCAAGGATTAGCTTGTTAAACATATTCAACTGCTCATCCAACATGTTGTCTTCACTCATCTTGAATGAATACAAAACTTACTTCAGGTATAGTCGATTCACCATAGATTTGGTCATGTACAAGCTTTCAAGCTTCAACCATAACCCCGATGCCATCATCTCCTTTGATACTTGTCGAATAACCTTATCACCAAGGCTCAACAATATTACGCTGTGGGTTTCTCTATCATGTCCGTCTTTTATTTTTCCGTTAATGCAGCGTCCATGGCTTCCTCTCCGTTCAACGCTATCAAACAATCCTGCTGAACTAGTAGGGCTTTCATCTTCATGTACCACAGACCGAAGTCGTTCACTCCGGTAAACTTTTCAATCTCATACTTTGTTGAAGGCATCTTCTTCGCATTCACCGCACCAATTTGTTGTCAATTAGGATGCCTTAAATCAAACTATACTCGGTTTCTTTATAGGCAAGAACCACATAAGGGTTAGGGTCAAGGAAAAAACAAGGATTGATTATAACTGCTATTATTTACTTTCTCTATAAAACAGATTGCAAGTACTCTCAAGAATAACAAATAACTCTCTCACCCTAATTAGGTTTTGTCACACTACACTTAAGATGAGAGACTACTATGCTATTTATAATAAAACCTAACATACTAAACTAATGGATTTTTTTAACAATTATCCATTACAAGCTAACTTAAACAATTTGATCCTTAACACAAGGCCAAATCCGACAACTACATACTATAACACAATTTGACTACAAAATGTAGGTCTTCGACAATAACATGTGAGCAAACTTCGACGACATGTAGGTTTTCATAATTAAAGTTATTGTTCATTAATTTTGATTTATGCATATTTCTATTTATTCTAAGTTGAAGGTTAGATATGTTTCATTAAACCATCTCAGTTGGTAGCTATGCATAGATATCAAATGTAAGGGCGTATATTTGAATTTGTAACGTCTTACTTGTTCACTTAAAAAAATTTGAATTTAAGTCACTAGGCTACTTAAAAAATTGGAGATTAGAGATGAATGATAAAGAAAGAAGTTATCAAGTTTAATTATTATTATGGGATAAAATTGTGTGTTGAGTTGGATAAATGTTTCCATTTTTGTAGTTGGATAGATCAGAACAATTAATCAATCTAATGGTATGTTTTTTCAACGAGACTCACCCTAGACCCACCATTAAAAAAAAGAGAGTTTCTCTTCTCACCCTTAGGCTCCCACATTTTTGAAAATCCAAAAATGTCCTTTGTGTTTGGAGTTGCATCTCAGGACTCACTTAAAATTGTACTAATAAAGACGTTGCAAGTGAAATATCTATATTTTTCCCAAAAATATGTCTAGAGATGCATCTCTGGAAGGAATTCATAGATATATCTTTGTAAAATTTATTGCGTCTGTTGAGAATAATAAGCCAATAGTTAAGTGTGAGTTGGAGTCCCACATTAGTTATAAATATAAAAATTTGAGTATTTATAAATGGGAGAATCCACACACCTATCACCTTAAAGAAAAAATGTGATATATCGTATAAATGGGTGGACCACTTTATAAAAATGTAATATACCATATAATTTAAAAAAATTAATTCTCTATGTAAATGCGGGTGAATGTGGGATTTCCCATCTTAATTAAAAAGAGCAAAGACACATAATATAAAAGCAATACAACCCTAAACATTAAATAAATATATTTTTAGATTTTTTTAAGGCAAAACAAGGATAGCATTTTTATTTATGTGATTTTAAGATTTTTTTTGAAATAATACATATTTTCAAATAAAATGATAAAATAATTGAGTTTTCAAAAAAATTACCAAACTAACTGGCTTTTAACATGCATGCGCCATATGATATGGCGACAACATTAAAAATGCAAATGAATTGAACTGATGCGCTATATCGTATGACGACACCATTCAAAGAAAAAAAAAGAATTGAACTGAGGCACCATATCATACGCCTACTCCTCTAAATTTTTTTTAAATGGTGTCGTCATATGATATGACGTATCAGTTAAATTGATTTGTATTTTCAATGCTGTCACCCTATCATATGGCACATGCATGTTAAAAATAAATTATTTGATAATTTTAAAAAAAATTCAATTATTTTAATATTTTATTTAAAAATATATGTTATTTTAAAAAATAAATTCAGATTTTAAGTCCGTTCAAAAATGAATCTCATGACATGGTGAGAGAGAACATATAAACGTGGAAATAGCAACCCTAAAAACATAATTTTTTTTCTTTCAAATTTTTCTGCATCTTTTGAAATTATACGGTATACCACATTTTAGGGAAAAAAATGTGTGTAGGGTTTTTGCATTGGGCCTAGTTATCTTCATAGTCCGCGACCCGAATCCGATATTTCAACCTCTGCCATCTCCTCTACTCTTCTTCCTCTGCAACAGTTTATCAGTTCCGAGGGTTTTTGCAGGGTTTTCAAACAATGGAGTTCGAAAAGCGAAAATCATCAACATTAGCTTCATTGAACTCCACAGAATCCGATAAATCACCAAAAGGTTCATTAGATACACCAATTATCCCTCTCATCAACACTCTCAATCAAAACCCTAATTACTTCACCACAAGCTCTTGCTCCGGTAGAATTTCCATCCTCTCTCAACCCCTCTCTCCAATTCCGTCTCTCCAAACAAAGAAAAAAGCGAAAGGTGGAACCTGGCTCTTCGTTTCTCACCACCCCGCCGAACCTGACTCGCTCGTTTCACTTCTCTTCTCATCCGAGTCAACTAACTCCCCTAATTCCCCTATTTCCGAACTCGTTTTCAGATTTGAACCTCTCATAATCGCGATTGAGTGCAAAGATCTTTCTTCTGCTCATTCGTTAGTTTCTCTTGCGATTTCTTCTGGTTTCAGAGAATCTGGGATTACTAATGCTAACAAACGTGTAATTATTGCGATTCGTTGTTCGATACGCATGGAAGTTCCTTTGGGTGATACGGATAAGATTATGGTTACGCCTGAGTATGTTTGTTTCCTTGTTCAAGTTGCGAATGAAAAAATGGAAGCGAATAGGAATAGAACTGAGAGGTTTCTTCGATTGTTGCAGTCTAATGGATCAATGCCTAAGGATAACAGTAACTGTTTGTTGCCAACGAATGGTGTAGAGCTTGTTTGCAATCATATTCAATTCGAAAATGAATCTCAGTTAACAAACGGGAATGCTTCCGAAGCTTCTTCAGGTATTTCGATGGGTGATATGATTTTTCTTTAGTCAAACATTTTTCAATTGTAAAATTTAATTTAATTTGATTATTGAACCGTATGATTAAATTGAATCATCCCCATTGGTGCCATTTGATTAGAGCACTATTATTCACACCATATTGGCCAACTATAATTTGTGGATTTGGCTATATTATGTTGTGATCACCTTTGATTTGCTATGAAACATTATGGCAAAAGTTTATCCATGTAGCCGATCCCACTTAGTGAGATAAGGCTTGATTGTTGTTGTTGTTGCTGCATGATTTGTTATGATACTTGCATAATATCCACCATTTTTTGTTTCATTATCAATGGTTGAAATTACACACTTTACTTTCTAAAATGAACTACTAACTTTAGAGGAGCCTTGTCCATAATTTTAGTGTCAAATTTGCAAATATAGGAGTATATGTTATGTATGTCAGTGTCACTGTTAGAATGAATATGCTTGAGTCATTAAAATTCAAATCAGTACTGATATATATCCATATGCATCTGATTGCAGGACAAATTTCCTTTTAATATCAATCAAAAAGTCTGAATCTTTGAATGGTTGGCAGGGTATTTGGGTTCTCCTGGGTTTAACTTGCCAATTGCCCATATTGAAATTGTTGGTGAACCGGTGGAAAAACTTTTTCTATGGGGTCACTCTGCTTGTGCTTTGGATAATGTCAAACACAAGAAAGTCATTGTATATGGTGGCTTTGGAGGGCTGGGGAGACATGCTAGAAGAAATGATTTGTTACTGCTTGATCCATATTCTGGCAATCTTGAAACAATTGACACTTTTGGGAGTGTCTGTCCATCTCCGCGGTTAGGCCATACAGCTTCCTTGGTTGGAGATTCAATGTTTGTGATTGGAGGTCGAACCGGTCCTGATAAAATTCTGAGTGACGTATGGAGCCTTGATACAACTAAGAATTCTTGGAAGCTGCTGCAATGTGGTGGCAGTGTCTTTCCTCCCAGGTAATACTTTGCAACATTCTTTTGTTATAGCACGGACCAGTTCAACGAAAAACACTTATCAAGTGTTATACAGTAGGAGGAACAAAGTTGTTTTATATATACACACACATACAACTTGTTAGGTTAACAGTATGTTAATTCATGTGCATACACCTTATTGAACGGTATATTGTAACTCTGATAAGGTGTGGTAATTTTCTGTATTCAGCTATATTATCTTCACAGTTAAGTTTTATATTTTAATCTTGGTTAGGCATCGCCATGCTGCAGCTGTAATGGGGTCAGACATTTATGTATTTGGAGGGCTTGATGATGATGTTATCTTTCCCTCCTTTTATGTTCTTAACACAATTAGTTTACAATGGAAAGAAATTCCAGTATCTGGGGACTGGCCATATGCACGTCATTCTCATGCAATGGTAGCATCTGACTCTCAGATTTTTATGTTTGGAGGATATGATGGCCGGAAAGCACTTGGGGATCTGTATAGCTTTGATGTTCAGACGGGTCAGTGGAAGAAGGAAATAACAGCTGGAAGGAATCCACATGCCAGGTTCTCCCACTCGATTTTTGTCTATAAGAATTATTTTGGAGTTCTTGGTGGGTGTCCAGTAACACAGCATTATCATGAGTTGGCTTTACTTGATTTGAAGCTTCGTACATGGAAACATGTTACCCTTAATTCTGTTGGGAAAGATTTATTTGTGCGTAGTACATCCAATGTCGTCGGTGACGATCTTGTCATAGTTGGGGGTGGTGCATCATGCTATGCGTTTGGAACCAAGTTCAGTGAGCCAGCAAAAGTCAGCTTGCTCCATTTAATTCATTCACATGATGATTTCATGCCTTTTGAAAACCAAAGACAGCATATGATTGGCCAAAATGGAGCGATGAAAGGGAATAAGGTTGAAAATTCACAAGGACTCCTTGAACATCTACCAAATATATCTGAAAATGAAAGTTTATATTTTAATGATAACATGCCTCACATCAATGGTCAAAGTCAGATGATTCCGTTGCATTGTGTTTTGCAACTAGAGAAAAAATACGCAAAACAGGGTAAGGATATATTGAAGAAATTTGGATGGTTAGACTTAGGAAGGAAGGCATACTCTGAAGAGGGTGGTGTACATATATGTTTTCCTATCTGTAAAGAGCTTTTTGCTGTATTTCATGAAAGGAGTTGTCATTCAGGAGATGATGCAATTGACCTGGAAAATGAAATTCCACTTTCAAAACCACTTACACAAGATGGGTACTTGTTAAATAAGCTGTCATGCTCTGAAGCATTGACTCTTCTCCATGAATATGGTGCTATTCTGCTGGAAGATAAGGTTGTTGAAACAAAAAAAGCTGCAATGTCTCCTTTGAAAGTAATGACTGAAGCAGTAACATCTTTGATTGAGAAAAAAGGCCTACCGACTGAGCTTCTAGATGAACTGCCAGCAAGGTATTTTTTATTAAGATTGCTTCTATGGTGCCTTCTTTTCAACTTCGTGCTTATTTTCCATTCATTTAGGATTTACTTATATTCTTACATGAAATCCCTTTAGTGTTGTGTTTTATAGTAAGGAATAATTAATTTTTTCCAGGTGGGATCGGATTGGTGATATTGTTATACTTCCAACTACTTCATTCAAGAATATATTGTGGAACTCTATTGCAGATGAGCTCTGGCTAATTGTTGCCAAATCACTCAAGGCTCATCGCCTTGCTCGCCAAGTAATCATATGTACATAAAACATAAATTTGCTTTTGTGCTTTTCCTGCCAAGGTTTCATCATACTGTTTCACTTTCTTTCCTCAATAATACTGGTATTAATAATAAAATTTTCTTATTGAAGATGCATCATATATAAAATTTATGTGAAAGACAAGAAAATATCTAATGATGACATTTGATAAATATATGAAATACCTGAGTCACCAATTATGAATGAATTGAAAAAGTTACAAAATATATTTATCTATTAAATGTACACCTATAAATTCATCTATGTCAGAATCTAGTTTTAAAATGTTTTTCCAAAATAAGAGTAATTAGTGTCTAGATAAATTATAATTTATAAAGGCTACAAGAGGGACTTTATTGTTAGTTCTTTTAATATGCAACTAGGAATGCAGTGTGTTGATCTTCAGAAGAAAAAAAATCTTCAAGTAATACTTCATGACTGATACAATTGTCTTAGAGCTTAGTTTATTAAACAAAATGTTGCTTTACTTATGCTTGCAATAGCTTTACGGCGAATACATTGATTTATGACACAAGTTAGCTGGTTTATTATAGGGCCCAATTGCTGCAACTGGTACAAGAGATAGTACATTAGAGATTCTTGTTGGAGATGATGGTTGGGTCAACCATCGAGAAAATGGAATACTCTATTCTTTTGATGCTACAAAATGCATGTTCTCATGGGGTAATCTTTCTGAGAAGCTCCGGATGGCCAAGTTGAATTGCAAAAATGAGGTTATAGTAGATCTGTTTGCGGGCATTGGCTACTTTGTGCTACCTTTTCTTGTCAGGTATTGTCAGTTTGAACAAGCAGGGTGTACATTATACCTAATCTTTAATTATATCATACTGTCTTAAAATTTCTTTGGAAACTTTTGTCAAAATTATTGACTTAACTTTTCAAGATACATTCTGTATCTGAATATCAACATTTGTTGACGGGGATGGGACTACATTCCCGAAATTATTAAACTAGGATTAAGAATTGGATTTTTTTTCCTAGCATCAAAATGATCAGGTTTGCTTGCTTTTGAGGTTGTTTTTAATTTGCTATCGATATTAATCTCTATTTATTCCTATTGTTTTTACATGATCTTGAGCAGGGCCCAGGCAAAACTTGTATATGCATGTGAGTGGAATCCTCATGCTATTGAAGCACTCCGACATAATCTACAATCAAATTCTGTGGCTGACCGTTGTATCCTGCTTGAAGGAGATAATCGAAATACAGCTCCTAAGGTATACTAGTATATTGTGTATTTATTCACCTATAAATCTTATCATACCTCCCATAACTCAGCAAGAAACTCACCGTAGTACTCTTGTCATGGAGGAGTAGATCAAAGAGAGAAGAGTCAAACAACTAGAGGTAGAGGAAGACTTAGAAAAACTATAAGAGAAATTATCAAGAAAGATCTCGAGAATTGAGATTAACAAATTTGATAGGAAAATGGTCTTGGATAGAACAGTATGGCGGAATTTGGTCCATGAAACCGACCCCACTTAGTGGAATAAGACTTGATTGTAGTTATTGTTGGTTTTACCCTGCAGTTTACCTTTTTCAAAATTCACTTTGCTAACTGACTATAAACGGTCATGATATTTAAGATAAACTGGCCTATCGAATTTTAGTACACCCATTGATATATGCAGGATGAAGTAATATCACTTACGATATTGATTTTTTTTTTCATTTTCAGGGTGTGGCTGATAGAGTCTGTCTTGGTCTCATTCCATCTAGTGAATGCAGCTGGGTCACAGCTGTGAGGGCTTTAAGGTAATTGTGATACTAATTTCTCAACATTTCAAATCAACAGACTTAACTGGTGTAATTTTTGTCAGCATTTAGCCATTATTGATGGTAATATCGTGCTTCCACACTGATGTTAAGTTAAACTCACATGCTTATTTAAAATTTGACACCATTAAATTTAATTTTTCCTATACTTCTCATCAATGGTAATAACATTGTTGTTTGCCGCATTTTTATCCAGAAAAATTATTTTTTGCTTTTGTTCTCAATAGCCAAGTGTCCCTGATGATTGACATTAAAAAAAGATGCGGCAGCGAGTTCCTGAACTTATTTTATTTCATCTCTAAAAATATTGCGACTTTAAGAATAAAATTGGAGACAAACTGTCTTATTTGGTGCTAGGTCTTTTATTGTAAAAGTATTTTTAAACTGGCTTATCTGATTCAAGAGTGAACATATTTCACCAACTTTTATTGTGTTGTTCCTGAAGTTATGGTTCAAATCTCATCCATTAGCTTGCCTGATTGAAATTTGAAACTTACGTATATCTAAATCACTAAACTAAATGCCAACATTATGACTGATCTTACTTCTTTTGATGGTAATGGAATCTTCCAAATTTAAATTGAAATACAAAGCATGTGCTTCACAAGATGGGACATTGTAGAAAATTCTATGTGAATATTTGTACTAGCTTAATTTTTCATTCATGTTTATGTAATCAAACATCTCAGGAGAGAAGGTGGAGTATTACATGTTCATGGAAATACGAAAGACTCAGAAGAGTGTCAGTGGGCTGATCATGTATCGAAGTCAATATCTGAAATTGCTAGATCTGAAGGTATCAGCATCTTTTAATTCCTGATTTTTAGAATTACACATGTTGACCATTTCCCACTGCAAAAATGAAGATCTAGTATCTAAGGTAGTTATTGATTAGTTATTTGTGATTCCTTCAGGATATTATTGGGAGGTTTCTATAGAGCATGTTGAAAGGGTTAAGTGGTATGCTCCACACATTCGCCACGTTGTTGCAGATGTAAGATGCAGACAGATCCAGAGGTAGTAACAATCAGGCTGACATTTGCGGTTAAGAATTGGCTTCAGTATGTAACCAATGATAACATCATTAAGAATGTTAATGTGCAATGCAAAGATTCTAATTGGTCAACCTTTGAATTGCCGATTCGACTTGTTAAAAATCCTATTCAACTTTCGGTGGGAATGATCAAATATTGCAGATGGGAGCGACGGCGAGCTGGATGATATTTACATAAAAGGATGAATATTAGTTATTGCATTGTTATTGGTATATTGTGGTTTCACAGTATAGTTTTGCTGTATAATGTTTTGGAACTTATAATTTTGTTTATCTATTAAGTGTTAGGGGGTGGGTGTTTATGTTTAAGTAACTATTTAGAACCAAACTATCTCTAAAAAAGCTGCATTGTTATAATGATTTACTAACTGAATTGTGTTTTAATACATGTTTCAATTGTCTTTATCAAATTGAAATAGGAACTGTTGCGATTGTTAAATCCGTGGCTATGGTTAGCATCAAAATTAAGTTCTACCAAATACAGTTAGAAAGTGTGTCTAAGACGTAGCTATGGATTTGACAAATTTTCCAGTTTGGGCTGTTCCATTTGCTCAACTTTACCGTTTTGGTATTGCACTTTTTCCATCTTATTGTTGTATTCCTAGTTCGTTTTTGGTTTGTACTTTCACTGCAACCACTGAGTAGAGTGGGATCACAACTTTTACTTGTTTTTGAATATTATTTGGAGCTACATTCTAATTGGAAAGATGATAAGTTAGTTCTATATATGAATGGTAAAGTTATTTAAATATGAAATTGGTTTTCCACCTTACGCTTAGAGCCACTTTAATTAACCTTTATTATCTAACTAACTTTTATAACTTTTTTAAAACGTAATCACTCACACTTCCAAAATAATTTAAAAATATATTCTGCTATAGATCCAATTCATGTTCGCTCTTTCCGAGTTGCTTAAAAATAGTAAAATAATTCATGGTCGTCAAATATAATATTCCTTACATAGAAAGATAAAAATACAATAAAATAAATATTGGTGAGATAGAATATAATAATATTTGTGGATATGTGAGGGAGTAGACTTTGGCGTTTATGCCGATATTAAGTGATGACTCATATCCCAGGGGCCACGGGCTGTCGGTGGTCACAACGGCTTAGATGAGCAAGCCACCAAGCCACACTTCAGCTTCACTCACTCACTATCTCAAAGACTTGTTAGTCCATTTTTTGTTTGTGAGCAAGCAAAAAATAGTGCTAATTATAAAATTTTGGCAAAATCATATTTGGTGACTGACAGTGATATACTTTATGTATAAAATGAAGTACTCTCATCTTTACTTGTAAAAGTAAATGAAAATATAATAAACAACCAGTGTCACTAGAAGTGTAGGATTTTTTTTCTTAGGATTAAATCCAATCACAAGTGCTCTCGGATACTCTCTTCTCCCATCTTAAGTAGTAGTAGAGAAACACTACATACAAATCTAAAAATATTTTTTATTTTTTTTATTTTTTTTTAAATTTTTAAAAAAATTTAGAAATACACTTTCAAACACAACTGCTCTCGGATACTCTCTTCTCCCATCTTAAGTAGTAGTATAGAAACACTACATACAAATCTAAAAATATTTTTTATTTTTTTATTTTTTTTAAATTTTTAAAAAATTTAGAAATACACTTTCAAACACAACTCATATGGATTACATCTCTTTGTAGTAGGTGAGTCACATTCTTATTTTATAAAAAAATAATACATAAATATACTTTTGAAAATATACTTTCAGATTTATTCTCCTTAGCTTTTTATCCAAATGAGATTCTTTCCTAAAACTTTTTATCCCTCTTACAACCATCTCCACATATTAGCAACACGATCTCTAAACTGGGAATTTTTTTTTGCCTCAAATGCTATTAGAAGACATAATTCAGTGGTTTAAAAAAAAGTATTCGATATAGTTGTGTTAATCGAATATAATATGTGTGTCGAAGTGTATATGCAAGTATTAGATAGAGTCTAACACTGCAGGTTATAAATTGTATGTTTTGTTGTCTATATATACAAGTGACATTGTAAATAAAAAAAATAATTTTATTCACAAAATTCCTTTTCACAATATAATTTCTCTCTTATTCACTATCTTCTTCTTTGTCACTCTTCTTGAAAACTCTAATTGTTCTAACAAATTGGTATCAACGAGCCTGATTGCAATTCAGAGAGAATCTATAGTAGCAAACGATAACACAACATCAACCAATTTTCTGGCAAATCTACCAGTGTTCAAAGGTGAGAAACACGAGAGGTGGGTTGCGCATATGAAAGTCATCTTCAGGCTTTAATATGTGGTTGAAATCGTGAGTGATGGAGAGTACATGCATTGGAAGCGAATGCAAATGATGTTCAGAAGGATGCGCATAAGGAACGGAGAAAGAAAGATGGAAAAGCTCTGTTATTGATTCATCAATGTGTGGATCCTAACATGTTCGAGAAGATCATTGAAGAAGAAATGTCCAAAGGAGCGTGGGACAAGTTAAAGAACTTGTACGACGAAGATGAAAAACTGAATAGGGTAAAGTTGCAAACGCTGAGAAAGCAGTTTGAGATAACACGAACGAAATAAGATGAATCAGTTGTTAATTTCTTCTCAAGATTAATGATATTCATGAACCAGATGAAGGCGCTTGATGAATCGATTAGTGATTTGCAGAAGATTGAGAAAGTGTTGAGATCCATGACTGCAAATTTTGATTACATTATAGTGTCTATTGAAGAATTTAAGAACCTAGCTAAGATGAAGTTGGAAGAACTTCAAACTTCATTAGAGGCTCATGAGATGAGGTTGAACTAGAGGAACTCAGAAAGGGAGAAGGTGGATGAACATGCATTACAAGCAAGATTCATCAAGAATTCTGAAGAAGAAAAGGCGAAGCAAATAAAGAGTCTTGTAAATAATGAGAAGTCAAACAAGAATTCAAAGAATCACTCTGATTCAACCAAGAAAGTCATGGGCAATAAGTATTCGAGGAAAAAAGTTGACATGAAAGAGGTGCAATGTTACAACTGTCAAGGATTTGGTCATTATGCTCGAGATTGTCGAATAAAGAAGGAGTCAAAAGTAAAAGATAATGACGTGCAATATGAACATGCTGGAGGAAGCAACTATGATGATATGCTACTCATGGAAAATACTCAGTTGAATGATGAACAAACCAATATGTGGCACCTGGATTCAGGATGCAGTAATCACATGATTGGTAATAAGAACTGGTTTAACAAGTTAGATGAATTAGTTATTAAAGTGACCAGGTTTCAGATGGCAGACATGTGACATCAAGTGGAAAGGGGAGCATAACTATAGTGAGAAAAGATGGTAAAAGGCCTAGTAATACTGACGTACTGTATGTACCTTCGATGAAATGTAATTTGATAAACATATGTCATTTACTTGCCAAAGGGTATAACATGAAATTGGAAGAAAAATACGATGAAGGTGTATAATGGTGAATGAAGGATGATCCTGAAGACACCATTGTCAAGTAACAAAACCTTCAAAGTAGAGATCAACACTGTTCATCATCAATGTCTTGCTTCGACAACTGTTGAATGCAAGAACTGGATATGACATCATAGGTATGGACACCTAAATTTTAGAGGTCTAGGTACGCTCAACTAGAAAAAAATGGTATATGTCTTACCTCAAGTGAAATAACCAAGTCATATGTGTGAGGAATGCTGCAAAACAAAGCAGGCTATGAAAGCATTTAAACATGACTTTTCCATGAATTCAATAGAAAAGTTGAAGCTTGTTCACTATAACGTGTGTGGACCTTTTGAGGTAAGATCGAAAAGAGGTAACTGATATTTCCTAACTTTCATATATGCATTCACCAGATATATGTGGATTTACCTTATTGAAAGGAAGAGTGAGATATTCACACAATTCAAGAAGTTTAAGTTGCATATCAAGAAACAAAGTGGATGCAAGTTAAAAAAACTGAGAACTGATGGTGGAGGTAAATACACCTCTAGAGAATTTTCAATATTTTGCAATGAGGAAGGTATAAAGAATTAGGTCATTGCACCCTATACACCTCATCAAAATGGTATAAATGAGAGGAGAAATAAATGTATATTGAATATGACCTGGAGTATGTTGAAAGCTAATGAAATGCCAAAGAAGTTTTGGGGTGAAGCAGTTTCGACAACAACATACGTTCTAAACAAATGTCCAGCCAAGAAGATAGTCGAGAAGACATCTTATGAGGCTTGGACAAGACTGAAGCCAAATGTTAGTCATCTTGGAGTATTTGGAACAATTCAGGCTTTTACCTGAGCAATTATGGAAGAAGCTAGATGATTGAAGTTATGCCATGGTGCTCATAGGTTATCATTCAAATATTGCATACACATTATACTCACCAAAGAATGATAAACTAGTGATCATTAGGGATGTTCCAATAGACGAAATTAAAGGGTGGAATTGGACTCAACGCCAGTTCGACATGAGCAAGATACAATTGAAATTGTGCTTAAAGAAGACCAACAAGCTGAAGTCATAACCAATTGAAATGAAGAACCACCTGAACATAATGTTTGAAAATTGACTAGAACGGGAACCGAGTCGACATGGCTATCTAGATATGAGAGATTTCCAAATCAAGCATCGATGCAGATGATGACTTCATAAAATAAGTGATAATGATGGCTAAATATGAATCAATTCATTTGGATCAAGCCATGAATGATTCAAATTGGTTGGCAGCCATGCAATAAGAACTCAGTGAAATCGAGAAGAACAAGACCTGAGAGCTTGTAGAAAATTCAATCAAGAAGCCAATTGATGTTAAGTGGGTCTACAAGTTGAAGCTAAGACTAAATGGTGAAATTGCAAAGCATAAGGCAAGACTGATGGCAAGAGGTTTCCTGCAAAAACATGGTATCAACTTCGAGGAAGTCTATGCACATGTTGTAAGGTTAGAAAACATCAAAGTAAAGGATGAAAGATACATCA